AATATTTCTTTTTTTTTTTTTATAAAAAATATATATATATATATATATATATATATATATATATATATATATATATATATGATTTATATATATATATATATATATATATATATATATATATATATATATATATATATTTTATATATATATATATATATATATATATATATATATATATATATATATATGATTTATATATATAATTTATATATATATATATATATATATATATATATATATATATATATATATGACTTAGAAGAAGTTTGACTGTAATTTAACACCTTGAAATTGGGCCTGTGTCTCTTTAAAAACTCCTTCTGACCCTCTGCTTTCAGGAATTCATCGCAACATTTTTAATAACATTTTCATCAGCATTGCTCTGACAAGTGGCTCCTATCAGATGTTAAGTTTCACCAGATATTTGCTAATTTCTCCTGGCTAGTCTTAAGGAGCTCCGGGGGAGGGGAGGGTCCATGAAGCACTGCTCCAGCTTCATAAATGTGATAATTTATCTTTTTTGAGCCAATAGCAATAGACATGTGCATATACTCTGTATAAGAAATATTATATGGGCAATTGATTATGACTGTCTCAATGGGAAGGAGTCAAAATCTTACAGCATTGTTATTTGTTCTTCTATGAAAGGTCCACCGCAGCACAGGGAGACTCTGAAGGAGCTCTGGTTCAGTTGTTGCTCTTGTTTGACTCATGACTAAAATACCTGATACAATTTATAAGATACTGACTTAACACATCATGTTAATATCAGAATAAAGAAACTCTTTCCTTGTGCACAGGTGGCCTATGAGCAGGAAGACTACTACCACTCGGTGCAGTGGTTGGAGGAGTCGGTACGTCTCTTCAGGGGAGCCGCGGGAGAGTGGAGTCCTGAGAACGAAGGGACCTTAGAGGACGCTCTGGATCACCTGGCCTTCTCCCACTTTAAGGTAGGAGAGCAGAGAATACACACGTTGGTCCCATGTTTGACTGCTATAAATCCCTCTGTTTGATTCAGACAGGAAATGTCTCGTATGCCTTGAGTTTGTCTCATGAGTTACTGCATCATGGTGAGTCCACACCTCCATTTCACATGCAAGACAATAAGAACAGTGCCTGCACCTTTTTTGTTTTCAATATTTTGCTGTTTTAAAACCTTAATTCTTTGTGATAGACCGACACAAAGTATTGCGTAATTATAAAGTGGAAGGAAAATCCATGATCTCATTTTTAAGTTTGCCACAAGTTACAGCTAAACCCCAAATTATCTGTGGCTTTAGATTTATTGTCATTCACATAAGAAATTTGCTCCCGGTAGAAACAGCAAAAGCAGAAAATCTTACCAAGTATTTTTGTCTAGTTTCTGGTGCAAATATCTTATTGCAACTGAAATAAGGCAAAACTAATGTACAGCATGTTTTAAGTCAATTATTCTTGAATATTGATAAAAAGTACTAACTCCACTGACAGATTATTTCACTTATAACAAGAGAAAATTGAAAATTTGCAGAAACTGATTATTGTTTTTGCAAACTATGTATCTTTGACAATCTACGGGAGATTTCAAGACGAATGAATGATTTGTAATAATACTGTATCCAGCCTCGGTGACTCTTTGCACGCGTTTTGTTTTCTCAGATCCAATGAATGGACGGGTGTTGCAGAATATTGAGAAATATGAGAAGCTGCTGGGTTCTGCAGGTCCAACCGGGGAACGCAGCTTAAGAAGACCCGGCTCCTCCTCCTTAACGACACGGGACACTTATGAGAGACTGTGCCTGACTCAGGGCTCCCAGGTATTCATCAGCATAGGACTCTTCACGTAGTGTCCCAAAGTGACATATGGCTCATCCTGCAGACAGATGTCAATGTGTACATTGTCTGCTCTTGCATTATTTTGAACCAGTAAAATAAGGAAAGTGGATTCAAATAAACAGTGTGGGATAGCTTGCTGATGCAGGATTAGCTTGTATTATATGTGTGTATATACATATATACACACATATAATACATGTGAGTATAGATGTATACTCAAATGTACATCTATATAAATTTCTGTGACCGTCAACCTTTTAGGTGAATGTATGCAGCAAATTTTGATCCTTGTTCGATCTCATTAACGGACTTCATGATGCCTGTTTTCCCTCTTGCAGCCGATGCACTTTGAAAACCCCGGACTGTTCTGTGACCTCTTTACCAACAACCACAGCCCTGCACTGCTGCTGCAGCCTGTGAGGCGAGAGGTCCTGAGCCTGCAGCCTCATGTGGAGCTTTACCATGACTTCATCACAGACGCCGAGGCGGATGACATCAAGAGGCTCGCCCAGCCTGGCGTAGGTGATCGTCGCTTGAGCATACCCAGGTTTAGGGTTTCCAGCGTAAACGTCTGACTTTTATTTGCTTTCATTCCCAAATGTTTGTCTGTCTGGGTTAGTCTCGTGATTCTGAAGCAGAATTTAAGATAGTTTTGGGTTTTTTTTAGTTTGAATTAGCAAAGAGAAGAACTAGTAACATTTTGACCTACATTTATCTTTCAAAAGGTGGGTTTTATGTAAGATCAACTTTTTTGAGCATTATGTAATGCTATAATGTTATTCTATAATCAAAAATATACTCTGAATGTTGCTTTTGATTTTTTTGTGTGTGTTTGGGGAACCCTGGAGTCTCCCGTGGCAACCATTCGGGGTGCAGAACACCTCTCCCACACTCCTTCCCCTCTCAGCTCCCCCAGACTAGCAGCAGCAGCAATTAGCAAACACCTGATGGAACTAAATGCCTGCTGAGTTTATTATAGGAACTGTTTTCAGTGCAGTGCTCCTAAGAACGGTTGTAAATGGCATAATGAGGATTATTGTTATGATGATATGCTGGAGGCGGACTGTTGGAAGAGGACAGGTTTCTTAAAGACACAGAAGCCCAACTTCAAGACATCAAATTACACAGTCCAGCTTCTTTAAAGTCATGTTTGACATCTACAGCATTATTATAACAACAACTCAGGGTAACACAGTTATTTTATTGTGCTATATAATGGCACCATGTGCCTGGAAAGTACATAATGCTGTCCTTAACATACCCAATGTGAAGAAAATTGTGTTTATTTTCATGCTTGTTTGTTTTTTAATTTCTTCTACCTCCTCATGCTGTCTGTTTTATTGCTTTGTCGTCATATTCCATCATTTTGGCCCCTTACATTAATGTGACCCTCCTGAGGAATAAGCTCAAAGTTATTATTTTTATTCCAGCCCTTTTTAATTTCCTCCTGGCCATTTAACCGGATACTGTAGCTGTGTTTCTTTTTCATGAAATCAAATCACCAGTTCAGCATCTCAGTCAGATTAGAAATGCTCTTCCGCTTTTCAAGATGGTACACTGCGATCCATTCTCAGCTTCCTTCAAAGGCAAATCTCATGCTACTTCCTGAAGCAATAATCCCCCCCCCCCCTTTTTTTTTTTTAAGCCAAATTCCTCCAGCAGAGCAAACAATCTCCCTGAGCTTTGCCAGGAAAACACTGTGAGCCTCATGCGAAGATGACATTTAACAGAAACCTTTCTCCTGACTCTCAGCCTGCTGACTCATGTGCTTCAGGAACTGTTTGATGGATTAACTAGGATGATGCCTCTTTAGTCTCTTTGTGGTTTATCTGAGAGCTTTCCATCCGCTGGTCAGATGGAAAGCTCGGTTTCCATGTCATCGCTACGTCAGCTTGTGGGCTAATTGGAAGCAGGCCTGTGGTACTGAGCTGGACGGCTCTTTACTTCCCCGGAGTCGTTTTTCGACAGGTTTCTCAGTTTAGAGGTTTTCGGCATATTTCACCAGTTTTCACGAAAGGAGACCGTCCGCTTCAGTGTCCAAACAGTTTAAACTGCAATTTGTTTCTGTTGTTGATTTGAATATCAGGTTGCTTGTTCTTCAAAGTGGGGCCGTTTTATATTTCTGTTGGAGATTGGTAAACATAAATTCAGCAGAAGGCAAAGTGATTGCCAACTGCTTTTAGTGGCTTAGAGAAGTGGAGAGTCAGTCCAAAACTATGTGCAGTGACACAGTTTGCGGTTCACTTCAACAGCTTGAGCAATAAAAAAAAAATAAAAAAATACAAGCCCAAATAAAGCTGCTCATATTTTATTTTCTGCCCTTTCATAAGTTGAAGAGATCCGTGGTGGCAGCTGGAGAAAAGCAAGAAACAGCAGATTATCGAATCAGCAAGAGGTAAAAAAAATAAATAAATAAAAAGTTTTAAAACTATTTTTCCTGCTGCTGGTGTGCATCTGAACATCCGGAGGCATAACGAACTGATTGGGTATATTTGATCTCTAGTGCGTGGCTGAAAGGCTCGGAGAGCTCCACCGTTGGGAGGTTGGACCAAAGGATTTCCGTGGTAACGGGTTTGAACGTGATGCACCCGTATGCCGAGTTCCTTCAGGTGGTGAATTATGGGATTGGTGGACACTATGAACCTCATTTTGACCACGCCACAGTAAGTCGACAAAGTTGCGGTTAAGTTTATGTTCATTCCCTTTAACCTTTTCTGCATTTTTCCACATTTCGAGCATTCCACATTTTGTATTTATTTGGGACTTTATTTGGGAGAGCAACACAAAGTGATGCATGAATTTGAAGAGTGAATTGAAGGGTGAATGGACTTCAAAGTCTTTTACCAATTAAAGTTTGAAAAGTGTAACATTCGTTTCTATTCATGCCCTTTTTCTCTTATCGCTCTCAACACCATGGTTACACCTCTAACTCTGTGGCTGTTTGTCTGTAGCAGTCTGCCTCATTGAGAGTCAACATCTTTGCTAATTCTTCGTCAAACTGATCGTGCTCAGTCAGATCGCATGGGGAGTTTTCATGAGTAGACAGATTTTCAGTTGGATTTACATCTGTACATTGACTAGGCCATTGAAGCACTTTTATCTAAGCTGTTCTAATGTAAGCCTGGCTGTATATTTAGGATCACTGTCCTGCTGGAAAGTGAACCACAACTTCATGACAACACATGAAAAAGTTGAAGGGCAAATGTCACGTTTGCAAGGTGCCACGTGTGTTGGTTAAATGTTGACAGAGTTTCCATGTCGTTTTAAAACCAGTCACCCACCAGTCCTGTTTTCAAGCTGAGAACTGGGAACCGCATGGCGACCTTTATGATCTACGTAAGTCAAATCTACGCTTTTAGCTTGAGGTTGCTGGTCAGATTCCTGTAGTTTTACTGTGGGCTCATCCGGCAGTTGCCCTGGAGTAAGCTTTTTATCTGATGCTGCTGTTCCAGCTACTTTAGAACTGTTCTCAGTGATTTCCTTTTTACATTGGAATAAACTGATCGTAAAACGTGATAGCTGTGAGAAATAATGATCCCTAAATCATTTCGACTGGCAAATATCACTTGCATTTATTGCAACAAAGCATAAACACAAGACGCTGCTCTAAAGGAATGTTGTTTTCCACAGCTCAGCTCAGTGGAAGCTGGCGGTTCCACGGCCTTCATATATGCCAACTTCAGTGCTCCAGTTGTGGAGGTAAAATACTTCGGTTATCATCAAGATGTTTCTCCTAATTCAGCCTTGACTTTTTGATGTCAAGGCTGAATTACATTCATATGCTTCTAATCCAGCTGTGTGAAAACTATAAATGGAGAGGTTTTCTTACCAACAGCTCTGTGTCCAAGTCGAGGTTTTCTTTTCTGGTTGCCAGGAAACTATTTTATGTAACTCCATTAAGTCACACAATCATTCATATTCTTGGCAGGTTTGGGTTTAAAGTAATCTTTTAATGTTACCAACATGTTTTCTCTTAGTGGAAACGATGTGAACGTTTCATAGTGTTTACTTTACGTCTTGTAATTGGAATCTTAAAAAAATAAAGAATCACACATACAGATGTGCTGCTGGAAACTCCAGTTACAAATTATGAGAACGTGTTTGACCTCTCAGAAAACTGGATAAATTCAAGTAATTTGGTATTAATTAGAATTAATTTAGCAATTGCTGTAAATGAAATAGTGTCTCCCGTTAAAATGAATGAGGTTTTTTATTTGGTTGAAAATAAATTTTGGACTGGGCTACATCTTTTTGGGAGAAACAAAACCATCTGACAAAGGACGTGTCAAAATGTGACGGCGTATTAGGGCCATCATAATTTTGAGATTAATTTAATACATTTTATTAAAAAAACTTGAAATTTTCTGAGTTCCAAAAGTTGAAAATGACACGATCAGGCACTGAACAGAGAATACAAAAACAGGTGTTTATTAGGAAATAAACTTGCTCTTAGTCAGACAGGCCAGGGTCAGAACCAGGGGATCCAAATCGGGGTCAGGCGGTTCCTGATCTCAGGGTCAGACAGACAGGGGGTCAAAGCCGGGAGGTCCTAATCCAGTGGAGAGGGTCAGGATCGCGGACAGGAGAGGCAACTAGGCAGAAGGAAGAGACAGGTTAGTTACTGTGCATTTAGCTCACATTTCTACAGCAGGCCTGAAGGTGTTACCGCTGAGGGTTTCGCAACAATCTGATACTGTGCAGGGGGAAGATCCGTCCTTATATGGCAGCAGCTGGGGATCAGGGTGATGATGATCAGGTGTGAGTGGTCACTGCTCAGCAGCAGCTGTGACAGAAAACTTTTGAAAATCTTTGAGATTAATTTCAAATTTTTTGCGATCTTTTAACTTTTCTAACTCAGAAATTAACGTCGTTGGTTTTTTCTTGTTTTGTTTTTTTCATTTCTGAGTTTAATCTCAAAATTTATGAGTGTTTTTCGAGCTATGTTTTTTCCTTTGAAGCTCAGCAGTTTCCATGTTTTTTCTAAAAAATTTCAGCGATTAATCTCAAAACATTTGGCAGAAATTTACTCCTCCTTTTCTTTCACCTGGGTCTAATACGCCGTCATATAAAGCCGACTGTCCATCAGCTCATATCCACTAATGGGTAGTTCTGCCTTTCAGTCTAATTTGGATATTCAAATTAAATTAGTGTTGGTAGGAAACCAAAATATGCCTTAGCCCATGAGGGGCCCACATTTTACTAAATCTGTCCCTGATCAAAATAAAAATAATCCATAAGCAGCATGTTTGGCATATATTAAAATCTGTTCTCTTTGGTATTTCTCAGAAAGCTGCTATCTTCTGGTGGAACCTCCGCAGAAATGGTCAGGGAGACGAAGACACTCTGCATGCTGGCTGCCCGGTGCTCATTGGTGACAAGTGGGGTAAGACTTGATGTTCCCGCTCGAGACTTTTGGTAAAAGCCAAGAAAATGCCGTCTGCTTCTCGAAACATTAATCTAATCTCCTCACTTAGGAGAGCTAGAGCCCATCTGTGTTTCATTTTGAGTTTGAGTATAGCGATATTACAGCCTGCAGTTCAGACTCTGAGGGCTCATCTTGGAAAGTGAACATCTGCTGCCGGTTGGCTCAGACAAGCAAAATCTGTTTCGCAGGCTATTTAAACCGACCTAAGGATAATAATAATAATGATGATAATAATTGGGAAGCAGCTGCAAAAGAAGTCGCGGAGTAGGTCAACAACAACTTGCACTGCAAAAACAGGTGGGAATGCTTGTTGGAAACGTGTTTGGAGAGGCTGAAAAAGAGACGCATTGGTCAACGCTGTTTGCTTATTTTTGTTTGACAGCAGTTCCAATATGTCTCTGTGCCACAGTGGCCAACAAATGGATCCACGAGTCTGGCCAAGAGTTTGAGCGTCGCTGCAGCCTGAATCCTGAGGAGTGAGAGGGAGTACGAGCCTTTACTACTGCCAGGCACGTTGGCAAGGAAAGACGAGGCAGCAGCCAGAGAAAGAGCATGTGTGCGTGTGTGTACAGATGAGAGAGATATCGGAGGAGCCTGCCTGCGTCTTTGATTGGAGCCCAGGGCCCCAGGGAGCCTGGACACTCCTGCTGTGGATGTGGAGGTGAAGGTGGAGCAAAATCTGCCCATGGAGACCAACTGTTTCCATCAGTCACTTCATGCTATAGTGGAGGAGTGTTTACATTTCTTGCATTTCGCAAGAATGCTGGAAGACGTACACTATCTGCGTTGGACGTAAATTATCAAATGAAACGTGTCCTAAATTTGGTAATCATTGACAATGTGAAGCTCAGACTGCATTAAACATCTCATTCTATCATGCCTGATGGAAGAGTGTCGTCACTGTCACTGTTTCTGACTCAGACCGATGAAGATGCAGTCTAATGAAACAAATAAACTATTAAATCAGCCTCTTTCTATGCCTCGTACTTATATCCCTGTTAGTCTGACCATTTTTAAATCCCTCTGAACAAACACAGCTGACCTTGTGTGCATATTTCTCTGATATGTGACAAAATACTTCTCAAGCCACCTGAAAACAGGTTGAGGCTGGTTCATAGAGAGTATTAAAATCTCAAATCCATCGAACCCTTCTGCATGGAAATGTTGTGGGGAAAGTCCTGCCGCTTGACTGGCAGAGATCTTAACTTCATACTTTTTCATTCCCACAGAGACATAAATTTTCTTTCCAGCTGAGGCAGTCTTTCCAGCCACAGACAGACACACAGAAAATATATGAAGAGAGCGTGTAACAGATCTCTATTGCACATTCCTGTGCACACACTGAGCAATATTTTCCCATGGAGCTGTTAAAGAGAGGAAGGTTGTTCTGTATTGTTTCACTGGAGGCCCTATTAAAAAGCTTGAATGTACAACAAAAATGATCCTTGGACTTTGACGGCATTGTTTAAAAACTCACATTTTGGAGCTTATATTATTTATAAGTGGTAATCATGTGGTTTACATACACTATGGGCTTTTATTAAGATTAGAAATTATGCTGTTAGGATGTTTGATCTGCAATCGAATAAACCAGAAAGTTTGGAAAACTCCTAAGTCACTGTTGTGACATTATTTTTAATATCACATATTTATGTGATATTTATTTTTTCCCTCTCCCTACACACACAGTGCACCTCTCACTGTTACCACAGCAAACATGCAGAGTGACTATCAGCGGCTGTTCAAACTACCTAAAACACGCGAGAAGATTTTTGGTATTCTGCAACAAACTGTCAAAAACAAATACTGGAGAAAAATAGATGCTTAAAGTGATCCGCCAAAAAATTTGAATCTGCAATTCATTTCGTTGTCAACCTCATTAAATTTCCTCATGTGAGTGGGTTTAAATCATTCATGTCATAACGGTCTTTCTGCATCTCCTCCGTTTTTATAGAAATAATGTAACAGATCAGTGCTTCCCTCTGCTGGTGGTGCCCACAAGATGGAGTCTTTGTGATGCCTCATGTTTTATATATATAAACAACAGTATTGGGAACTTAATTAATTCAATTATTAGTAACCTAAATTAAGAACTGTTTGACAGTAAGATGTAATTTACTGTAATTTATATGTATCTAAGCTACATAGTGCAACATTTTGCATGCGTATTAAATCAGCTAACACATTTATCATTTTGATAAGGGGGTCGGATGAAATTTTGGTATACTGAAGTGTTTTCCGTGATGTACATGATATTACATTTATAATCTAAGACATTTGGGAAAATATACTTCTCTTGCTCTTAATTTAAATATCTTGTGAACCTAAAAATATGTTTGTCTTTGCTTCCTGAAAGGGGCTCTGTTCATAAGAGCCCCTAAAAAGAACTTGGGAGGGTGGAGTAGCTAATTGAAAAAAGGGGCAATCGATGTAATAATTTTTAATTATCATCCTTGTAACCTTGATGTCGCAGTGAAAGAAACAACCAAGTAAAAAAAAAAACAAACAAAAAAAACAGAAAAAGAAGGAAGGAAAGGAAAAGAGGAAGAAAGACACAGACTCTATTTCCCAGAATGCATCAGTAAGGCATTCTGGGTAGCGGAAGTGTCTTGTTGCTCGGAGACAGTTTTCCGCGCTTGTTCGGTTTGTGTGTACTTGTGTGTGCGCGCGGCTAGTTTAGCTCCAGTTACTGATTATTAGTTCACCGAAGAGCGATAATAAACATGTCAGCGAAGGGTTCAGGCTCTGTTTCGGAGAGACTGCCAGTTACGGTCTGTTTTTACTGAACTGAGGAATGAAGAGTAAGAAACACAAGTCTGCCAAAGCTGCAAGCAACAAAAAGAAAGGTAAATGTAACGTAGCTAAATGCTAATGTTATGCTACTTATGGGTAGCTCGTCCAACCAACTGTCACTTTCGTAAGAACATATACAAACGCTTTGAAATTTTTCACATATAAATTATGTAATTTCTCATTCTGCACCGTACTGACATTTTTGATTCAATAAAATGACTCACAACAATATTTAATATGTTATAACTCGGTATTTTATCCTTTACTGCCAGAGATGGTATTTACTCAGTTACATCTACTTCAGTAACTTTTTGGGGGGAAATGTACTTTTATGATAACGTACTTTTTACTTGAATAATATTATTAGTAAGAGTCAGTACTTTTACTGAGTCACATTTCTAAATACTGTGAATTACTTGAATAAATGAAATGAATACAAATACAGCAGATAGAGATACACACTGTTAAAGTAAGACCTCTTGTTTCTACACAAGCTTTTTTCTGTCTCAGATCTATTGAACATGTTTCTTTCAGTTAGGCCTGCATGACGCGCAGCAAAGACCAGCTTGGACTGCAATAAATTTTAGCTAACTTTTTAAGTAACTGTGTGTTGTGTCTCCGGCTTGGTGTAACCTGACATAACTCTGTCAGTCCCCAGCGATGTGTCTCCCTCAACAAGCCTACCCCCTCTTGTTGAGGGCCAGCTGAGGTGCTTCCTGTGTGTGACAGTGAGCAGGGTCTTATGGACAGTCCACAAGCCTCCGTCTCCAACGTTCATCAGGCTGCGCTGGTGGGGCGAGTCGTCCAATGGCACGCACTTCTTTCCAAGAGATGCATCCCAGGTGGCTCAGAGGACCATCAAGAGCACAGCTCGCTACGCGATCCGCTGCGGCCCAAAGCAGTTCACCTCATACCTTACAGGTGAATATTTTCTCTCCAGGTCCTCTAGCTTCCTCCCGCACTCCAAAACATGACTGTTAGGTTCATCGTTCTGCGTGCACAGTCATTTTCTGTGTCTCTGGTAGTCTGTCCAGTGTGTACCCTGATTCTCGCCCAATTACTGCAAGTGCTAGAAATAAGTGCCAGCTCCCAGAATAAGTGTTTATTATTACTTTTTTTAAAGGCTTTATTGGCTCTAGTGGCCCAGGATAATCGTGTTTAGATGATGAATGGATGGATATCGGTCAGGTTTTTGTCTTTACAAATCAATAGCTATTTTTTCTAAACAGATATGGGCTCTTTGGTGCTGGAGGTTCTGACTAAGCCGAATCATTTACCAGTCGCTCGGGCTCAAGTTGCTGGGATCTCCCGTCTGTCTCTGTCGCAGCCTATTAGTGGATTTTACACTCTAGTGTCGCCAACCTCAGAAAAGCTGGGAGAAGTCCAGGTGAGCAGACTGATCAATTTAAAACTTTGTGTGCAATAACAAACTTTACTGGATGATAAATTGTCCTAGTAATTATTGCAATATTGTTGTTTTGAGACAATTTTCAAGTAATATAATGATCATGGCATAATGATGCAAGTTCTCCCTCAAAAAGACTAACAAACTTTATTTTTGTACAGAACACTCAACACTGGAACTGGAAGATATTTTAAATATCCGAAATAAAAAACAGCAACCAAAAACAACAATAAAAAAAGAAACCAAAACACACACAACTAAAACCACAAATAAAATGGATTATGATGTTTCTGTAAACAAAATTGCCCTTCAAAAAATATTAGTCCTTAACATGGAAATTATCAAGCTCATTTTAATTTATCATGCAAGCAATTAATTGTTCAGTTGCCTTTTACAGGCTTAAGTGTAACTGAAATATTCTGTAATACTAAAATATGTTGTTTTTCATCTCCAATCTTGACTTCTTAGGTCTCTCTGAATCTGGAGCCTCTGACTGAAGCCTACAACAGCAGCAGCTCGGCCCCCGCCACAGACACCAGCATCGATAAGCTGCAGGTACCCAAACTGACGGCCCTCCCGCCGCCAGTTCTCGTCACCGCTGGAGGTGGGAAAGAATCCGGCGGGAGCAGTGGTGGAAACACACCAAGGTTTGGGAGAGTTACTGAACAAATACCTGTACAAAAACTCCCCCTTGCTTTTCTCCTCTGTTAATCTCTTGTGTTCCTTGCTTTGTTAATTTTAGAGGAAAAGACCACTTGTATTTTCAAAATGTCCAGAAGGATAAGACGACGCTGGAGAATCAGGTTCCTACGTGCAGTAAACTTCAAAACAGTGAAATTGTTGGGAATCCCTCGACAGCAGAGACGAGAAATAATGACATCATCTCAGGTCAGCAGCAACATCATTAACTGCGTTCCCATTCCAAATGAGCACAAATCTTTGTCGATATTCTGCTAATTTGAAAAAAACACAACATTGCAATGGCAACATTTCCATTAAATAAGAAATTAAATTAAAATAACATGTGAAAAAGCTTGTTCACTCGATGTCATTAAAAATCATGGCAGCGACAGATGTAAACAGTTACATGAGATGCATTCATAATTTAGCCATTTAGCTCATCATCTATCAGCCATCAGAGGAGACGTTGGTGTCTTACTCAGGTGTTGGAGCGACAAGCTGCTTATACTTGGGAACGGCCATTTTAAGGAAATTGTAGTCTGACCTTTTACAGTAGAGCTATGGATTCAACACATTTAAATGACACATTTGTATGAACTGTGTGATGCTGTGAGAGCTCTGGAGCCAGCTGCACATTGTACTAAAAAAACAAAAACAAAACAAAAACAAGCCATCATCCCACTACTACTTCCTGTTATCTTCTTAGTCGTTTTCATAAATAGTAACATTCAGCTGTTTATTACGTGACTCATGTGACCCATAAAAAGTGTTTCCATTGCAGTTTTGTGAAATACAACTATTTAGCTATGGTCAAAAAACCACCTCATTCTAGCTCAAAAACCTTTTTCAAAAAACTTGAGTTTTTTCTAAACTGACATGTTTTCATCGGGCGTATTTATTTTCATAATTTCAGTTTGCACAATTTTATGGTTAATAGAAACGCAGCTAGTCAATCACTAATGTGCAAAAGCAAAAATGTCCAGTCATGACTGTTAACCTTTTTCTGGTTGCAGTCATTTTGGAGCGGGGAAACAAGCTCAGGAATGCAATGGTGGAGTCGGGTCTGAATTGTGACGTCGTCTCTTCTGTGCC